TAAATAAGCCGTAGAGATATTAGCGTCATATTGAAGCATAATAAACTTTCCTTCCTCTTGCCTCCTACGTGTCTATCATACAGCAACAAGTCAAATCAATAAAGGTAAGTGTGATGATAAATGTTAATTTATCCATTTTATTAGTGCTTTATATTTATTTGTCATTGTTTTCTGTATGTATATTTATATTTAATCTTTAAAAAAATATTTTTTGTTAATACTTTTGGCTGTCTGAAACAGATTAACCCTTAAACGGTCCAAACGTATATATACATTTTTTCAACATCTGAAAGTATCTAAAAAATGTAGATCTTCTTTTTGTTTTACATTTGAAAATGTGTAAAAAAACTTTTATCTACATTTTTTTTTTTGTTATATTTTAAAATATGTAAAAAAAAGTAGATCTACTTTTGGAGCACTATGAATTTGAACGTCGATCTGTTTGGACCGTTTAAGGGTTAATTGGATTTCCATTATTTCTTATGGGGAAAATTAATTCGACTAACTGCTAATTCAACTAAAGGCAAGCTCTCTGGAACGGATTAAAGCCGTTGGTTGAGGGTCCACTGTACTGAAGTGATCTTTTCAGAACTCTCTTAGGGTCAGTTCAGTGTCTGAGGTCACTTCAAAGCACTTTTGAAACACTGCTCTGGTGTACAGTTTTTTGAAGTTTGAAATGACCTGCTGGTCCATGAGCTGGAGAAGAGGAGTGGTATTGGGAGGCAAAAACTTCACTTTGATGAAGCTCAACTCCCCCGCAATTTGCTCTTGCAAGTCATGAGGATGAGCAGGAGCATTGTCCATTACCAAGGGGCACTTGAGTGACAATTTATTTTCCAGGAGATACTTTTTCGTAGTGGGGCCAAACACGTTATAGAACCAGTCAAGGAAAATGTCCCTAGTGACCCATGCCTTACTGTTTGCTCTCCACATCACACACAATTTAGTCTTGACGACATTGTTTTTCTTGAACACTGGGAGTTTCAGAGTGATACACGAGTAAAGGCTTCACTTTGCAATCCCCACTATCATTACTACAAAACATTAGAGTTAGCCTGTCTTTCATAGGCTTGTGTCCTGAGTAATGTAGGTCCTGTTTGGCATTTTCTTCTAAAACAGGCCTGTTTCCTCACAATTAAACACTTGTTGGGGTTTTAATTTTTTAGTGTCTGTGTACTCCTTAAAGTCCTGCACATATTTTTCAGCCACTTTTTTGTCAGAACTGGCAGCCTCACCATGCCTTATCACACTATGTATGCCACTACTATTCTTAAATCTCTCAAACCAGCCTTTGCTGGCCTTAAATTCATCAACAGCAGCACTGTTTGGAGGCATTTTCTTAATGAGATCCACATGCAACAGCCTTGCCTTTTCACATATTATTGACTGAGAAACACTATCTCCTGATAATTGTTTCTCATTTATCCACACCAATAACAGTTTCTCCACATCTTCGAGTATTTGCAATCTTATATTATTTATTTTTTATTATCACACTGGCCGATTCCCACCAAGGCAGGGTGGCCCGAAAAAGAAAAACTTTCACCATCATTCACTCCATCACTGTCTTGCCAGAAGGGTGCTTTACACTACAGTTTTTAAACTGCAACATTAACACCCCTCCTTCAGAGTGCAGGCACTGTACTTCCCATCTCCAGGACTCAAGTCCGGCCTGCCGGTTTCCCTGAACCCCTTCATAAATGTTACTTTGCTCACACTCCAACAGCACGTCAAGTATTAAAAACCATTTGTCTCCATTCACTCCTATCAAACACGCTCACGCATACCTGCTGGAAGTCCAAGCCCCTCGCACACAAAACCTCCTTTACCCCTCTCTCCCAACCTTTCCTAGGCCGACCCCTACCCCGCCTTCCTTCCACTACAGACTGATACACTCTTGAAGTCATTCTGTTTCGCTCCATTCTCTCTACATGTCCGAACCACCTCAACAACCCTTCCTCAGCCCTCTGGACAACAGTTTTGGTAATCCCGCACCTCCTCCTAACTTCCAAACTACAAATTCTCTGCATTATATTCACACCACACATTGCCCTCAGACATGACATCTCCACTGCCTCCAGCCTTCTCCTCGCTGCAACATTCATCACCCATGCTTCACACCCATATAAGAGCGTTGGTAAAACTATACTCTCATACATTCCCTCTTTGCCTCCAAGGACAAAGTTCTTTGTCTCCACAGACACCTAAGTGCACCACTCACTCTTTTTCCCTCATCAATTCTATGATTCACCTCATCTTTCATAGACCCATCCGCTGACACGTCCACTCCCAAATATCTGAATACATTCACCTCCTCCATACTCTCTCCCTCCAATCTGATATTCAATCTTTCATCACCTAATCTTTTTGTTATCCTCATAACCTTACTCTTTCCTGTATTCACCTTTAATTTTCTTCTTTTGCACACCCTACCAAATTCATCCACCAATCTCTGCAACTTCTCTTCAGAATCTCCCAAGAGCACAGTGTCATCAGCAAAGAGCAGCTGTTGACAACTCCCACTTTGTGTGTGATTCTTTATCTTTTAACTCCACGCCTCTTGTCAAGACCCTCGCATTTACTTCTCTTACAACCCCATCTATAAATATATTAAACAACCACGGTGACATCACACATCCTTGTCTAAGGCCTACTTTTACTGGGAAATAATTTCCCTCTTTCCTACATACTCTAACTTAAGCCTCACTATCCTCGTAAAAACTCTTCACTGCTTTCAGTAACCTACCTCCTACACCACACACTTGCAACATCTGCCACATTGCCCCCCTATCCACCCTGCCATACGCCTTTTCCAAATCCATAAATGCCACAAAGACCTCTTTAACCTTATCTAAATACTCTTCACTTATATGTTTCACTGTAAACACCTGGTCCACACACCCCTTACCTTTCCTAAAGCCTCCTTGTTCATCTGCTATCCTATTCTCCGTCTTACTCTCTGCAATCTCTGTTTTGAAAACACACTTGCACCTTTCACAACAACAGCTTCCTTGCTTGCCTTTTTGTTGGCCAAGATAGTAGTGATGGTTGAATGGGATTTGTTATATAACCTTTCCAACTCCAAGATACGCACTCAACTCTCATAATTTGTGATTATCTCTTTCCTTAATTCGATAGTACACCTCACCCTTTTTACCACAGGGTTGGCACTAGAAGCTTTCTTGGGGCCCATGGTGGCTTATTTAGTAGTTACAAGCACTAAAAACACTGGAATAATACAAAATATATCGCAGGTACGTGTGGACGTCCTCACTAGCTTTGTAAACAATGGCACACTGGCTGGTACACGGAATGAGTGTCCGGGCGCTCGCTCAGGCCACATGGACACATTCGGCATGAAAGTCCTTAGCTGAGTTATTTGGCATTAGCTGAGCCAATATTTTTATGCCAAAGCAAGCCATTAGCCGATTTTGGCGTTAGCCAGAGCCGCCATTACCCAAGGGTCCACTATTATTATTATTATTACAGTGATCCCTCGTTTTTCGTAATTAATCCGTTCCTGGAGCCGTTACTATAAACGAAATTTACGATTTGCGAATCAATTTTCCCATATGAAATAATGTAAATACAATTAATCCATTCCTGACACCCAGAAGTATTAAAACAAAAAAATTTTTACATGAAATATACATGTAGTACATAAACAATACAATGGGAAATGATGAATGAAACATTAACAGTGTAACACTTACCTTTATTGGAGATTCTTCTTAGTGTATAGGAGACTGGAGGAGGAGAGAGATTGGATTGTTTACAGTTTGGAAGGGGAATCCCCTTCCAGCAACACCTCAGGTACCAATTGCTTCTCTGGGGTTGCTTCTCTTCTCTGTTTCTTAATGTCACTAGGACCACCTTGAGAGTCACTCTAGTCCTGTCTCGCAAAGTAACTGTGGAGAGAGCTCTGTTTCTGGCGTCTCTTTAACACTTCCCTAAAATGGCCCAAGACTTTGTCACTGTACATATTTCTCACCTTCTTTACCACAGGCTTGGCACTAGGAGCTTTCTTTGGAGCCATGGCAGCTTATTTAATACTTGCAAGCACTAAAATGAGTGGAATATTATGAAATATTTCGTAGGAGCACTTGAGGGGACCTTCACTCACTGGTAAACAATGCCAGACTGGCTGGGTAGGGAGGCTGCCCCGGCTCACACCGTGCATACGCGTCCCGGACGAACTACTATTCGCGAGTCAACCTATGAAAAGCGAGTCCATGTTTATACGAAAATACCCCTGTGATTGGCGAAATTTACGATTGCTGAGAACTACGAAAAGCGAGGGACCACTGTATTATTATTATTAATATGGAGTCTTCAAGAGTAGAGAGACTCTTAGTAATTTTAATGTGTACCCACATGCCAGCACAGTGTGTAAGTATATTTAGGTACAGGTACACATAAGTATAATTATCAGAGTACATACATATAAAATAAGCAATAACTTTAAAACACTTGAAAGTTTGGAAAATTTGCAGACATAATAGAGATATGTGCTCATGGAGAATGTAAACAAACTGGGTGGGGCGCGCCGTATTTGAAAGATCGTTCGCCATATAGCAAATTTTAGTCATAATTTGAAATCGCCATATTAGCAAAACGCTGTAAAGCGAAATGCCGTAAAGTGGAGCCCTACTGTATATGGGAGTTTGGCATGTTTTTCTGTGTGACTTGATAAATCTCTCCTTGGGTAAAAATTCTGCCTTAATAAAAACTTGCTCTGCTCTAAGTGTCTTTGTATTACCCATATTCAAGGAACTGGAGCTTCCCTTCCCTTCCGTGAGTCATATTTGAGTGCCTGCCATTTCTAAGACAATATATGATGCTTACAAGGTTTAGTGCTTCCCCATCATTATAATAATCTAAGAATGTGTCCCTTGCAGATTTTGAGAAACCACTACTGTGCAATTAACGGTCTGTCTTAGATAAGAATTTACTTTGTATTAGTTTGTTTCATTTATAATCTTGTTTGTTAAATTTTTCAGATGGAGCTGTCTTCTTCTTTGTCACGATACATCACCGACCAGACTTTACCAGAAAGCAAAGAATGTGACACATCATCAAGCCAAGAATAAAAAATTCAACCACGATTTTGTACATAACTGAAATAATGTGTTTAGGCAGTCGTAGATGCAATATTCTCCACCTCTAAAGTGAATTGTCAGTATGGAAACTAAAATTTCCTTCTGTCATCACTTGGCTATGTTAGGTGAATGACATCCTCATGATAACATCCAGGTGCTTCAATGTGCTATGCTTTCAGAATAGTTTAAAAGTGGTAGAACCTTGCATACAGTTTATCCTTGAGTAAGAAAGTGATGACTTACTTCCCTTTGTGGATATCAGATCTTTCAAGCAAGAACACCAGCTTCTAAATCTACCAGAAACCTACTAACAAAGAAAACCTCACGTATTTCTCATACCCACAACAAGAAAATGAAATGCAGAGTAGAGTATGCAGCAACAAATTTCATGAAGAGGAATGACATTGTTACAAAGTGTTTCTCTGTATTAAAATATCATATTTATTTCATGAATAACTACAGATGGAGAGCTCATCATATACTTGAAAACCCCAAGACAAAACACAATAACATAGGCATATCATCTTGCCTGCAGGAAGGTAGCTAACATTATCGCATTAGCCCTTTAACCCTTTCAGGGTCCAAGGCCCAAATCTGGAGTCACGCACCAGTGTCCAAGAATTTTCAAAAAAAAAATTTGTTATTTTTTCTTATGAAATCGTAGAAAATCTTTTTGTGAAGGTAATAAAACAAAAAGTACGAAATTTGGTGGAAAATTGACGAAATTATGCTCTCGCGAATTTTGATGTGTCAGCGATATTTACGAATCGGCGATTTTGCCGACTTTGACTCCCATTTTAGGCCAATTACATTATTCCAATCAACCAAATTCTTAGCTATTTCACTAGTATTACTTCTATTCTATCGATTGAGCACAAGAAATCGCCAAGTCAACTGTTTCAACTACAAAATAAAGTGATCGGAAATTGTTAATTTGGCCAATTTAACACAAAGTTCAAAATATTCCAATTTCAAAATAGGGTCCAGAATGAACAATGTAGGCATTCCTGGCACTAAACTAACATTTCCTCTGTTCATTAGTTATGTTTTGAGGCTTTACAAATAAATTCCATTTTGATTTTTTATTCACATAATGAATTTTTATTCACACCAAAAAATAGAAGATTTACTGTTATGCAATACTGTAATAATTGTATAAATATCATCACCATATTTGTGAATGTATATTAGACCCACCAGCTGACATGTATTAGACGTGTGAGGTCGTTTGTTTACTCTTGAATATCGGCAAAAATTTAACATTTCCGCTACTTTGAGCTCAGTTTCAAGCCATTTCCAATGCTAAAACCAATCAAAATCATCTCTATTTCTGTAATATGTCTTCCATTCTATCAAATGAGACCAAGAAATCGCAAATACAACTATAAAAAACATACGAAAAACACTGCAAAGTTGCTGTTTTAATCGAAAAATCATGATTTCATTTTTTTTCTCTCATTATACACAGTGTGCTGCAGGATCTGTTTTATGTGGTGCACACATACCACATAGATGTATTCTCTCATATCTAGGCCCAAATGTACCACTCACAGTTTATCAGAGTGAGCTGAGCTCATGGCGTAGATCTACGGTTTGGACCCTGAACGTAAAGCCGTAGATCTACGGGACGGACCCTGAAAGGGTTAATGAACAGTGAGACAAACTCCACTATCTTGATATCCAAAACCAATGATGCCCTTACTAGAACCATCCTTTCTAACCATTCTGAAATCAAAACTGGAGTCTATATAATCACGTGCTTTGTACATGTTGTAGAAGAAACTTATAAATGATGTTTCACTCTGGGTGGAGCTTTATTAAGTTTGACTTTATTTGTCTGCAATATCTACCATCTGACATGAAATGACAGCTTTTTATTTTCCAGATCAAAATTCCCAAATAGTTTTCCAAGCTAGTGCAAGTCTAAAGACAAATGTTGGTAGAGGTAGAGTGGTATTTTCAGTTGACTTTAAATAACAAAAAGGCACAATACCGTGACTGGAACAATACACAGATAACCCGCACATAAAAGAGAGAAGCTTACGACGACGTTTCGGTCCTACTTGGACCATTGACAAAGTCACACTAACAGAGGTGGAGCAGGACGGCTATATATAGGCAGGAAGAGGTGGTAGTAGTAGTAGTAGTAGTACGTCGTCGTAAGCTTCTCTCTTTTATGTGCGGGTTATTTGTGTACAGTTGACTTTCTTGCCTTTAACCTAAAAATATGATTATACAGTTAAGGTAAGCCTTGATTTAAGTAGCTCCTTTGAATTAAATATGATTTACAATGTTATCCCATATTACTGCTTGCATAAATATCAACTTTACAAGGTTGTTAGTCTCTCCAAAAATTAAATAAAATCACATTTGGCCTGAAAGCCTTAGTGTGAATTATTCTGGCATATATTTGGTATTCTGGTACTTTGTAGTATACCACAGCTGAATACTGAAAGTTATATCAGCCGGGGTCCAAGACATTTTGAATCAGTGATCCATCCAACTTGATTGACTGAACATCTAATGGAAATTTTCAAGTGAAAATTTACAAAACAAGATGCATAGCAGTAGAAATAAAATGCATGACATGCATTTGAATATGTTGCAATTGCATTATGGTGAATGTATGAGCATAAATCAACGGAGTTGATTAAAGATTATTAAGAGAGTAATAGTTTTATACCTATATTCAGGTAGTTATTTGAATCATCACTATCACTCACAAGTGTTGGTGTTGTTGCAGGTTTAGGTATATGTACCGATTCTTTCCAAGTACCATGAAAAGTTTGCTGAACCAGTTCATCCCAGAGTTTCTGTCCCTTCAAGGGATAAGCCTTGGTACTGGTGAAGACCTGTTGATCCAAGGAATTGGAGTTATCCTGTCTTTCTTTGTATCAAACCTGATTATCTCTCCCCAGATGCTATATGACACCTACAAATTTAGCTCTTCACTATGAATATTATAATAACCTTTGTATGTACAAGAATGTCTTTGTCACAATTAATTTTCTAATACATATTTTCTTTATTTATACTAGGAATCATTTAAGTTCTCTGGTATATAACAATATTTTCAACATAATCTTCTCTGTTTCAAGACAGAAGCCTTCAGTATCACACTATCTGCATCAGTGCTGAACAACTGCTCAAGTAAGGTTCCTTCATGCTGGGGAGGGGGTTTTGATCTAAGGAATTGGACCTGTGCTTCAGTTCATTGAGTCTGAATGTCTTTTATTTCCCCCAGGCACTGTATAACCCCTATGGGTTTAACACATCCCCATGCACAATGAATGTAATAATTATAATAATAATTCTCCATGGGGAAGTGAAACAGAGTTCTTCCTCTGTAAGCCATGCGTGTTGTTTTTCTTTTGGGCCACCCTGCTTCGGTGGGATACGGCCGGCTTGTTGAAAGAAGAAGAATAAGTTGAAAGTGAACATAGATAAGAGTAAGGTGATGAGGGTGTCAACAAGTTAGGTAAAGAAAAATTGGATATCACAGTGGAGGGAGGGAGTATGGAAGAAATGAATGCGATCAGATATTTGGGAGTAGATTTGTCAGTAGATGGGTTTATGAAGGACAATTTAACCATAGAACTGATGAAGGAAAAAAGATGAGTGGTGCAATGAAGTATCTTTTTTTTTTTTCAACGACCAGGCTGTATCCCACTGAGGCAGGGTGTGCTAAAAAGAAAAACTAAAATTTCTCTCTTTAAATTTAGTACAAATGTAATGTATACAGGAGAAAGGGTTACTAGCCCCTTGCTTCCGGCATTTTAGTCACTTCTTGTGACATGAATAGCTTATGGAGGAAGAATTCCATTCCGTTTCCCCATGGAGATAAGAGGAAATAAACAAGAACAAGAAATAGTAAGAAATTAGAAGAAAACCCAGAGGAGTGTGTATATATATGCTTGTACATGCATGTGTAGTATGACCTAAGTGTAAGTAGAAATAGCAAAACATACCTGAAATCTTGCAGGTTTATTTTTTTTCTTATTATTATTATCACACTGGCCGATTCCCACCAAGGCAGGGTGACCCGAAAAAGAAAAACTTTCACCATCATTCACTCCATCACTGTCTTGCCAGAAGGGTGCTTTACACTACAGTTTTTAAACTGCAACATTAACACCCCTCCTTCAGAGTGCAGGCACTGTACTTCCCATCTCCAGGACTCAAGTCCGGCCTGCCGGTTTCCCTGAACCCCTTCATAAATGTTACTTTGCTCACACTCCAACAGCACATCAAGTATTAAAAACCATTTGTCTCCATTCACTCCTATCAAACACGCTCACGCACGCCTGCTGGAAGTCCAAGCCCCTCGCACACAAAACCTCCTTTACCCCCTCTCTCCAACCTTTCCTAGGCCGACCCCTGCCCCACCTTCCTTCCACTACAGACTGATACACTCTTGAAGTCATTCTGTTTCGCTCCATTCTCCCTACATGTCCGAACCACCTCAACAACCCTTCCTCAGCCCTCTGGACAACAGTTTTGGTAATCCCGCACCTCCTCCTAACTTCCAAACTACGAATTCTCTGCATTATATTCACACCACACATTGCCCTCAGACATGACATCTCCACTGCCTCCAGCCTTCTCCTCGCTGCAACATTCATCGCATGTTTATGAGACAAAAAAAAGACACCAGCAATCCTACCATCATGTTAAGGATTACAGGCTTCCATTTTACACTCATCTGGCAGGATGGTAGTACCTCCCTAAGCAGTTGCTGTCTACCAACCTATTACCTATAACTGAGGTATCTGTGGAGACAAAAAAAGTTATCCATGGAGGTAAAGAAGGGAATGTACAAGAGTATAGCGCTTCTTTTTTTATTATAATAATAATAATGTACAAAAGTATAGTGATACCAACACTCTTATATGGGTGTGAAGCATGGGTTGTGAATGCTGCAGTGAGAAGTAGACTGGAGGCAGTGGAGATGTCGTGTCTCTGGGCAATGTCTTTCTTCTTTCTTTCAACACACCGGCCGTATCCCACCGAGGCAGGGTGGCCCAAAAGGAAAAACGAAAGTTTCTCCTTTTACATTTAGTAATATATACAGGAGAAGAGATTACTAGCCCCTTGCTCCCGGCATTTTAGTCGCCTCTTACAGCACGCATGGCTTATGGAGGAAGAATTCTGTTCCACTTCCCCATGGAGATAAGAGGAAATAAATAATAATAAGAACTAGAAAGAAAATAGAAGAAAACCCAGAGGGGTGTGTATATATGTGCTTGTACATGTATGTGTAGTGTGACCTAAGTGTAAGTAGAAGTAGCAAGACGTACCTGAAATCTTGCATGTTCATGAGACAGAAAAAAGGACACCAGCAATCCTACCATCATGTAAAATAATTACAGGCTTTCGTTTTACACTCGCTTGGCAGGACAGTAGTACCTCCCTGGGCGGTTGCTGTATACCAACCTACTACCTATAATTGAGGTATCTGTGGAGACAAAAAAACGTTATCCATGGAGGTAAAGAAGGGAATGTACAAGAGTATAGCACTTCTTTTTTATTATAATAATAATAATGTACAAGAGTATAGTGATACCAACACTCTTATATGGGTGTGAAGCATGGGTTGTGAATACTGCAGTGAGAAGTAGACTGGAGGCAGTGGAGATGTCGTGTCTTTGGGCAATGTGTGGTGTAAATATTATGCAGAGAGTAGTGTGGAAATTAGGAGGAGAAGTGGAGTTACTGAGAGTATTATTCAGAGGGCTGAAGAGGGGTTGTTGAGGTGGTTTGGTCATTTAGTGAGGATGGAGCAAAATAGGATGACTTGGAGGGTGTATAAATCTGTAGTGGATGGGAGGAAGGATAGGGGTCGTCCTAGGAAAGGATGGAGGGAGGGGATAAAGAGGTTTTGTGTGCAAGGGGCCTGGATGTGCAGCAGGTATGTGTGTGCATCTTAGATAGGAGTGAATGGAGACAAATGGTTTTTGGGACCTGATGAGCTGTTGGAGTGGGAGCAGGGTAATATTTTATGAAGGGATTCAGGGAAACCAGTTAGCTGGACTTGAGTCCTGGAGAGAAAGTACAATGCCTGCACTTTAAAGGAGAGGTTAGGGATATTGGCTGTTTGGAGTGATATCCGATCTGTCATATCTGGGTGCCTGTGCAAAGACATTGATTATGTGTGAATGACGGTGAAAAATAATAATACTGAAGAAGCTTGCAGGCTATAGTGAAGGGCTTTTGAGTCACTGAATTAAAGCTACCTTTTTTCTTCTGCAGATTCGGCCTGATTACCTCCCATTCCCCATACACTGAATGACTCCTATGTGTTTAGTGCTTTCCCATAAATGAAACATTGTAAGATGGCTTGTGTGGGTATAGTATATTTTTAGAAGAATTTTTACCACTAACTGACACATGACCTAAATATGGGCAATACAGCTTGGTGGTAGAAAGGCTGTGGGTATGTTGCATGCAACCACTTTTTTTCAACATAGCTGAACCACTTGCCAAGAAACTTCTTCATCGCTATCCCACATAAGAACATAGAACACTGCAAAAGGTCTACTCACAACTTGTCCAATACCCCTGCCAAGCTACCCAAGACTCTATAACCCCATCCAGTGGATCATCAGATGCAGCATTCTCCACCTGACCTCAACATTCTGAACCTGTCTATAAATACTCCCGTACCTTCCACCCCAGGTAGATCTGTTTGTGACTTGAAAAAAGCCCACTGTGTGGGCAAAACGTTGTCAATAAAGGATCACATTAAACTGCATGTGTGTTTATGTTTCCAAAGTGAAAAAGAATAGTAGTTGTCATCAGTGGTAAAATTTTGCAATCTGTGTGGAGCCCATTACTACTGTGATGCTCCCTTGCCTCTTACATAATGTTTTATTCTGCCTCTGACATACTCTGCACCTTCAGTAGTCTCTGATCTGGCATAGTACATCTTTAGCACATCCTACCCTGCAGCGCCTCTCAAGGGAGGTTCCTTGACGCTGGTGAGGGGCTCTTGATCTAGGGAATTGGATCTGTGCTCCGGTTCCATGAATTGAGCCTGAATACCTCCCATCCCCTCCCCACATGCGCTGTACAATCCTACAGGTTTATCGCTCCAACATGATTATAATTAATAATACCCTGCAATGCTGTATAACCCTTTTGAGTTTAGTGCTTCTGGTTGTATTATTATTTACGGTTTAGCACTTCCCCTTTGATTATAACAATAATAGGTATTATTATTTACATAATGATTAGGAAACTTCAAGGTCTAGATCTCTTGTAACGAAAGCAGCCTTAATGGCCTCAAAAATTAAATAGTAAGTTTCTGATACCCTTTATTTATTTATTATTTATTTATTTTATGCCTTTGCAAACAGTACATTGAGATTTTGTATTACAATAGTGGGATGCAATGCAAAGAGAGCCTCTATTATACCTAGGCATTATGGGCATTATTGCTCATGGATTAGCACACTTAACTGACTTATTAGTTTATTCTTGATTAGTTTATTGCTGAATGCCAGCTACATTAGGACACCATAGCAATGTTTTCTTGGATTCTTTATTACAGTCATTATTTTCTCATGATAGCAAACAAAAGAATGTCTTCCAGTTGCTCAGATACACGTGCTAGGCTTCTTGAGTGTGTTGAGACCAAACTATGGGACTTTCTTGACAGTACTCATTTGT